AAAGCCTGGGTTACCTTCACTCACACCCGTTACTGTTCATACACTGAACACCATGGTGACATGCACACCCAGCTCACACTGACTGCACAACTGCCAGACATTCCCACTGCCCAGCTGGGACCCTGATCTGCTGCTTTTCTCTGCTGCCAGATTTGGAAATACAGCAATTGAAATTTGAAATTGAAGATTAAATTTAAAAAATGCTTTTTTCTCAGGAGCCCCAGGATGCTCAGTTTTTCTCTGAGAGAAACCCATTTTATATAGTGGAATCAGATTTTGGGATAAAATGTACCTCACCTCTTCAATACCCACAAAGTATGATAAAAAGCAACCTAACAATCTTGCCGTAATTTTTTAAGCAATGGAATGAAAGAACCACAGAGACAATTTAAAGGCAGACAGTTTCAAATATTAAACATTAACAAAAACCAGCAATAGCTAAATTGCTAAAATGGAAACAATATCCCTTTTCCATCAGTAAGACTTTTTACCTCTGTCATGCAAATACACTGAGATGATTTACATATCTTACACCAAGAGTCACCTTTCTCATGACATCCCTTGAGCACCTGAGCAGTTTCTGGGCCAAGTTAAAAAAAAAAAAACAAAAAAGCTTGTTTTGGCCAGCAGCTGCAACTATTTGTTCCCCAAGGCACAGGATAAGATTTTTTTTTGCCAATATTTCATTCCAGATCAGGAGGAATTGGTGGCGAGGAAGAGGCTGGGACAGGAGATGAAGCCTGGTAACAGACCCCAGGACTGCAGGCACTGCTGTAGAATGGCCAAGGTGCCCACAGAGCACCAGGAGAATGGCATCAGTGAGCAGCACTGGCCACAGGAACCTGGCACTACTGGGCACAGCAGCACAGGAAGAACACACTCTTCACACACTACACTTGCTCCAACTCCCCAGCAACAGCCCTGGCAGTGCCATGGCAGGGTCACCTACCAGGGCGTGCCTGGAATAGGGGTGGTGGCAACCGGCTTGGCCTTCTGAGCTGCCTTCTCTTCCTCTGTCATTTCTTCCTCTTTTGGCTCCTCAAGGAAAGAAACAAGTTAGAGGATCAGGCAATGTCAGCTGGCTCATTATTTATTACCCAGTAACCAACTTGTTTTACAGAGACCATGCTGACATGCAGCCCACAATGACACTTCATCCATGCCATGGATGAGAAGCACTGGAATTGCAACAGCAGCTGCTACTCCAAAATCTCAATTCCAAAACCTCTAAACATTTACTCAACTTTTGACTTCAGCAAAACCTTACTTAAACACCTTCCCAGAGCTGCCCAAATCCTGGCAATTCAGGAAGGCCTGGATACAGGTGCAAGGGTTTATTTTCTGATAAATTTTCATTTATCCTTAAAATGAGTTTATTTGATAATGAGACAGAGTATGAAACAGTGAAAACCTGACATAACCTCTGTAGCAGAAATAAGCAAACTAAGAACTACCTCAGAAGTAAACAGGGTGGAGTGGCAACAAAACCCAGCAATTGCATTCTGTGCTTTTGCCTATTGAACTACACTGAAGTTCACAGAAATCAGGATAAAAGCTTTAATTTTTATTTCAATTCCCCTTAGCATCCTCAAAAACTATGCTGGGTTTAAGGTCTTTTACCTCCTTTATCAGTTCTTTTATAGGTTCTTCTTTTGGCTCTTCCTCTTCTGTCTCCATTGGTAAAGGCTCCTCCGAGGGCTCTTTAATTGGCTCTTTGACCTTCTCTTCCATTTTTTCTAAATAGAGACAGGAGCCTCCCTGAGTATTATTAAGAAACCACTATAGAACTGCATTTTCAAACACAACCACTGATAGTCTGAGCCATGCTCTCAGTATAAAGCTGTAGCAAAAAAAAAACCCCAAAGTACCTTTTTCTTTCAGTTCTTGCGGTTTTTCCCACGTGGACTCCAAGGTCCTGTTGTTGTAATAGTAAGTCTTTCCATCGGCTGTTTTGTACTCTGTCCACTCGGAGACAGCAGCTCCGGCCAGCGTGGCAGGGGAGGCGATGGCCACCTGCGGGTGGATCATGGGCACGATGGGGGGAGCCATGCCTGGCAGCACTCCTGGCACAGGGACAAAGGGAAAAAGGCAACAAAACAGTCAGTGACAGTGCAGGGCCTAGGGACCAACACCTAGCATCTACTGACTTCACTTACAAATACTCAAGCCATAGAAATAAACAGGATTGTTTTCAAACTGGAAAGCAAGGCATTGTAACCAAATTTCCTTCCTGTCTTTTGCAATCAGTAACACCCATTCCCAGGCAAATTAGATTTTAATTTATCTAATTTTAATTAATGTGTAATTCTGCAGAGCACAAACCTTGTTAGCTTTTAGAGATTTACTCTATTATTTCAAAATTAGTGCTCTCTTTATTAAAGAAGTCTTTATCAGATGACTGTTGCAAAAAATTTGGGTTTTTTAAAGTCTACTCCACTGCTTAATTATATTTAAAGTCTATTCCACTGTTGTCATTGTAAGAGATACTCCTATTGCTCTTAAAAAAGGCAAGAGTAGATTGACTTTGAGCCACCGAATTTAGAATAGAATTCTGATAAATTTTCAGTACTGGCATTAATTCAGAGCCTTGGATAAAACCTGATGAGAATGAAACATTCTGAAGTATCAGATTGTTGGGTTTGCTCAGTACTGCGAACTGATGGAAAAGAAACCATTTAACTGAATCCTAAAGCCAAATGGCAAGTAAATATCCAAAGATAAAACTGCCAGAATGCTGCAATATACTATTATCTCTCTACTCATCCCAACAGAGTGTAAAGACAGATTTGGAATGACAAGTTCTAGAACAACCAGTTGGATAGGATTGGAACTACAAGATCATCAATTTGAGCCTTTAACATTGCTAAAGTCTCATTTTAAATAATGGAAATCATACATTACACATTGCCATAACGTGTTCTCAGTGAGTGACTATTCTTAAATCCACAATTGAAATACAAAAGTTCACACTCAGACACACAGACACGCACACAACATGCGAGCACAGCCAGCCACTGCACATGTGGAGCAGGAAAACAAAAACCCACACAAGAAACTAGGAACTAAGTATGGGCATGAGAGTCACAGTCATTACAGAACTCAATGGTTACAGGAAACTGTATGGGAGTTTGGGTACAGAATAAGCTGACACTAACAGTTAATTGGGAAAGTTATCTCCTGACCAAAAATGATATTTGCATTTATACTGGTTTTGAAAATAAAGTATATGTAATCATTCAAGTGGGGAAGCAAATAAAGAAATAAAAGAAACAACCACATTCACTACCATGCCAACTTACAGACAAAACGAACTAGGATGGGTTTGGAAATTACCGGTCTTGGTGGTAGCGACTGTCTTTACATACGGGCAGCTGACTATTTGCATCATTGCTACACCTGCAAAACGGATAGGAAGCATGTTGGAAAGCTGCCATGGGATGTCAGCTACCACGGGGTGCTACAGACTTCCTCCCACAATTTGGAGTGCTATTTGCAGTTGGCAGAGAGGAAGCCTCCCGGCAAGAAAATGTGAATTACTTTTGCTTCAACATTTTATGCCCGATCAAATATAAAACTAATTTTAAGCTGCAGCAACAGTCTCTGATTATGTTAAACCAGCTGTTAAGCAAGTTATTGGGATGTAATTAAAAAGAAAAGAGGTATTTCAGTGAAGACTCAGGGGTTTAAGTTCATCCAAAGGGGAATGCAGCTTTCCTTGCAGGGCAGCAGCACAGGAAAATACCCCACTACTGGGGCTGCTTCCACAGGCAGCCTCTGCTGGGACAGACCCATGGACAGCAGCAGCACAGTGAAGATCAGGGGCTTTGTGGTTCTCAGTCTGCTGCTGCAGTTGGAGAGCAGAATGAAGGCAGAAGGACAGAGCTGAACTCGTCAGAGAAGAAAAGCAAGGCAGGGTGGACAGCCAAGCACAACCCAGAGGGAAAGCTGAGGGTATGAGGGTCATTACATGACTGGCTGGAGGTGGAAAAAAGGAGGTAAAAGAAATGAGCAATTAAGCTGCAGACAGAGGTACACAAAGCTGCACTAGGTCAGGGGCATTTTCTTTATTTTCCATTATCAAGAATGGCATGAGCTGAAAATGCTTTAAAAGCCAAAAATGTGGCACCATGCACTGGTCTGCTCTCCAGCTCAGTAAGAAATGACACAAGAAGGAACAAAAAGGCAAGCAGCTCATCCTCTTTGATCAGATCAAAATTCAGTGGGAAATCAGGCAAGGCAGAGGGGAACGCATTTCCAAAACCTCCATTTTGGGTATGGAAGGCAACTGTAGAACTGGCTGCTCCAGTCTGGACACTCAGAAACTCAAACACTTCCCTTCAAAAGTTCCAATTCATCATCTGAGGTGGGAAACGCTCCAGTGGAAAGTGAAATTAAACCCCTGTGTTTAAAACCAAAGTAGTTTCTGGGTTTGGTCATTAGAGATCTAGTATGGAAAGCATACATAAATGCTGCCAATTTTTTTGAACATAATTTGTGAGAAGACAGAATTGTAATGTTTTCTAAAAAAAAATTCAATGAGAGAATTGCAACTAGTTTTATTTTTAAAAGTATTGAATTGAGACATAAAAACATTGACTCAAGCAGCACTGATTGAAGTGTTTGTCTAAATTGGAAGGGTGGTGGTGTTATGCACTTGACAATGGATCTGAAAATTCGTTTTGTTAAGGAAGTTACAGCATGTCTCCAAGGTGGGTGAGTATAAACAACACTATCTGTGGGATTGCTGGAGTTAGGGATGCTGCAGCACAGATTAGACCCAGCAAACACCCAAGCTGTTTCCACTGCCAAGGTCATTCCCAAACATACAACTGACTTCAAATGTAGGAATTGAGAGAAAGCAGACTTACTTTTTAAGATCTGAGATTATGAGATATCACTAATGAACTCTTCCCTTGCTCCATCCTACTACAGTGTAACACAGAGATTAACTTTGAAATCACTTGACAGTATTGTTCAGTTCTGAACCTGTAACTTCAAACCCTCTGGCTGATATCATACCTGGTGCAGAAAGCCCCAAACATCGACAGTCTAACCTTCATTAGCCCTTCTGACTTCACCTGATACTGTCTTGAAGTAATTTGACTTCTCTTCCGTTTCTTGTTGCAATAAAATATATTATATTTCTTGTTACAATAAAATATGTAGTTTTGCTCTTCTTTTACAGTATTTAGAAAGCATCACAACCAATACAAGTTAGAATTAGCTGAAGGAAGATAACAGATTTCTCTCTGTAATTAAGCAAACTGCCAAATCAGACCCATTAGTAGAAGCAGCACTTTGCTGCCAGGGGTTCTTCTGACATGCTGTGGGTTCCACTGTGGCCCAGCTCACAGGGAGAGCTGTTCAGAGCCAACACTTCTTACCAGGGAAGTTATGAAAAAAGGCATTTTCAAAAATGAGTTTCTGGAGATTGATGTTCCTGCTCTGTCTTTGCTCCTGTACTGCACTACTCCCAAAAGGTTTTGAGAGCCCAACCCAGGCACACACCCAGAATCTCCATTCCCACTGGCACTCTCCTCCACTGCTCTAACCATCCCCATTCTAATCAACAGGTCACATTTGCACAGATTATATCCCTCACAGTGTGTAAGGACCCTTCATTCCATGCTGATCTCTTGCTGGCAAGGTTAGGATGGCAGTTCAGAACATTCTGCTAACCACCTTTAAGGATTAACCCCTTTTATTATTCTTCCAAAGCTCACTAATATACAGACTTCTTTCGCCCTGTACCCTTTTATTCATTTGCTGTTCAGCCTGGAGTATCACGTTCAGAATAGTATTTGTTTCCTGGTTTAAAATAACAAGTCCTACACTGCAATTATTTTTTCAGGCCAATACAGATCAAAGTAGCTTTGACCAGTTATTTTAAAAGACTATTCTAAAAGCAGAGGCAGCTAAAAGCTGGTGCTCTCCTCTAGTCAGCACTTTAACTGCTTTCAGGCTTATTTCCCTTATCAAAGGAGTGTTCTGAAAGGTTACTTTTCACCCACCCAATTCAATGGGAAGCAAAGGCCTCCCTTCACAGCCACTGGGTGGCTGCACTAGGACAGCAGAGAATTCACCTCACTCAGCCTGAAAAAAGTCAGAAACACAAGGATGCTGCTCAGAGCTGCTTGTCTTTTTGAATCCCAAACTAACTTGGATCCAATACAACTGCAGTCTCCAACCTCCCTCTGCAACACGASCAGCAGTTYTTGGTGTTTGTTTAGTRCCACTGTGCAGTGAAACACAKCACTTTYGTACTACAACAGGAACTCAACCATATYCMTGCAAATAAAATCTGGTGTGTAAGTGCTAAGTGTCATTAGTGATCTCCTGGGATGCCCTCTGCAACAACTACAGACAGTGAGTCCAACATTTTGCCAGCCTAAAATTCCTTGCTTAGGTATCTAAGTATTTCATAAAAACTTAAGAAARTATAATAYATCCAGAAGMAGTGTGCTGCCATCTAATATTCCTTCTCTGTGCTCTTTAAACCTAAAGCCTGTGAGTAACAACACCCTGGCACCCTAAATGCCTCATTATGGTCCTCAGGTCATACCTCAACAGTCAGCATCCTACCCAGTGGCTGCAGTCTAAGAGAACTGGGAACCCCTGACATCACTGGGGTGGTGATTTCCATGGTAATTCTTACTGCTCATCCATGTTCTAGTGAATATTTACACACAAGACTTAAGGTCTAAATGAAGTAAATACAAAAATTATTAAAGCAGTATTGCAATTAGTAAAATAGAGTGGTCAATATTCTCATTTAAACATTACATGTTTAAATGCAGTTATTTTCTGCCAAGTATAGCAAAGAACTAGAAATACAAAAAATGTATGTTCTTTGTTAATTAAAAAGTCTGTCTGCTAACCCTGAATTCTTTCAGATATACTCTGAGGAGAGGATCCAGGCAATTTCTGTACACAGTGGACACATGAGTGCAAACAACTGACAACATGGACATGTAGCAGACAAGACAATTACAGTTTGCCAATTTACCTGGAAGTGGAATAGGCATGCCAGGAAGGGGGACACGAAATGGAGGTACCATTACTGGTGGAAAAGCAGGAATTGCTGCAGTTGGTTGAGGTACTGCATGAGGAACTGCAGGAGGCAATGTCTGTGGGACTGGCTGGGGTACAGTCTGCACAGGTGTAGCAGAAGGAGCAGAGGTTGAAACACTGACTGATGGTGTGGCAACTGAAACACCCGAACTCGGGGTCTGGTCTTGTGTGGTAGGTGCTGATAAAAAAACACAAAGAACACCTTGTATCTTAGACACTGTGATATATTGCTGTACACATACTGGCACTCTGTTTCCCGGTATATAAGCAGGTATGCTCGGATATAACCAGCAGGAAGACACTCCTGGACAAAAAATACTTTGCCTTCTCTGGAACATTAAATATTTACAAAGAAAGTCAATTTTCAATTTCAATTTGTCCCGTTCTTTACACCTAACAGGTCTTTATAACAGTAGCAAGGGTGTATCAAAGGACAAACACAGACTGAAATGAGGTTCTTCTCTGTTCAGAGAAACAGAAAGGGAATATTACAGCAAGTTTCCAATGGCAACAAGCTGTCCTTGTGTTACACGAACACAGGTTCTGCTTTTAACAGCAATAGTAGCAGCATGAGAATAACAGGAGTCTGCTTTAAACTATGCTGGGCTGCACGCCCAGAACAGGAAAATGTCATTAAAAATGTGTAAATAAGCAAGGAAAAGGAAAGTACTCTTCTTCAGGAGCTGCAAGAACTTTCTTGGTCTTCAGTGCCTCCCAGCAGGAAAACACACAACAGGAATTCAGTTCTATAATCCTTACAGTGTGACTGGTTTAATTTCAAATTGTTTTAATTGGGAGCAACCAGTCTCACAGCACAGGCTAACAGGAACAAGAGACAAGTCTGCTTAAACTTGTACACTCACTCTGTAAGATCTGATGCAGAGGAGAAGGGGGAAAAAAAAAAAAAAGAAACCACACCAATTTATAGCCATATTCCAATGGGCACACCATGCACGTTCTATCACTATCAGAAACATTCCAAATAACATACCAGTATTAGCATATTTAAAAAAAAAGACTTCTGATCTTTTGTTAAGTGTTTCAGAAAGGGTGAAAAGTTCTTAGCAGTGCCTCACATTCAGGGAAACAGAGCAGTCAGTCAGTATGTGATTTGTAAGACCTAAGTCAAATCAGTACCAGGCAAGAATGAAGCTCAGCCAGAAGTCCCACATTTTTTTTACAGGCCAAGTCTAAGAGTTATAAAATTATTTTAAATTATAAAATGTCATCATCTAGGCACAGACACCAACAGTAACAGTTCTTGAAAGCAAAGAAAAAGTTTAGCAGGTAGAACAGGTAGAAGTGGAACAGATTGTCAGCATTCAATATTAGGAAATTTAACTTCAGACAAAGCGCATAAAGAGCTGTTCCCAAAGCATGATTAGCTCTCCCAAGCCTGACATTGGGTCAGCAGCTAACATTTACCTCCCATCTGACTTGTGTTATCAGCACAGCAGTTAAACAGATCGCAGCTCAACACAGCTCTTCAACACAGCACCGAGTTACCCTTCAATTTAAACAAAAGCCCCTAAAATGCTTTGAGCAATACAAGTTCTTTGCTGCTGTAATGATGTGTCCTCCCTCCAGCCTTAATGAAAGCAAGATTAGAGGGTTACCTAAATCTGACTTCCTTTCACACACAGATTCTGAAGTTCAAGTTAAATGGTGAGTTAAGCTTGACTTGTCTAATCTGTTACAGGAAAAAGATGAACGCCAAAGGATGCAACTCTACCCCACAATGGGAGCTGGAACAGTTCACCTGCACACTCTGGCCTGGCTCAGCACACACATCTGAGCCAGTGCAGCTCCAATGCCCAGTGTCCCAGTGCCAGATTCCTGCTCAGCACCAATGCTGTGCCCTGGCTGTGGCCCTGCACACAAGACAGGATGCTCTCTGAGCTGTTCCTTCCCCTGCACACCTATCTCTGGGCATGGGAAGTGAGCTCACTCACTGTTTGCTGTTGACACACTCATGCGCAACAGACTCACAGCATATAACCCACACCTCTATCAGGATGCACTTGAGACACCTGGGCAGTGCATATGTGCCAAAGTGCAGTGCAAATCACCCTGCTGTGTGCACAGCCATGCATTATGTGCTCACAGCATAAATTCAGTCACCTTTCCTTAGGTGGAAAACCCCTACAAGCAAAGGCTCAGTCCATGGAAGCAGCAGTAATCTCCAGGCAATTACTCAAAAGTTCATAAATGAACAAAAATGGCTCCAAGGACTATTTTTTTCATCTTTGTGAAATTCTAGAAAATAGGAACTGAGAAGCTTTAGGCAGAAGAATAGTGCTAATAAATGCAATACCAATGAACCAGCTCTATTCTGTAATCAACCAATGCTCACAGACGGGCAGCTCTGAGACCCATGGAGAAAATGAGCAAATTGCTACAACTAAACCCTAATCTCAGATCAACACTTCTCGTAAAACACCTTTAAAAACAATTTAGCTCTGTCTATAGTCAAAAGGAAATAGTTGTGTAATAGCTCTGAGGTGATGYAATAACAGCAGAAGAAAAATACACAAAGACCTGAAGAATTCTTTGAGACTGGGGGGAAAAGAGGTTTGCATGCAACATTCTCCTGGACTAAACACTCTACTTTAATTCACACTCCATGCTGAAACAACTTCCTCTTGGATACCAAGGCTTGGCTGCAGCAATTCCCCATGCAGCATCCCCAGCAGCAAGAGGCCTGTGACACCCCCAGGTACTCACTGGAGTTAGTCTGGGACACGGAGGTGGCTGTGGTGGTGGTGGAGGTGGTGGAGGACTGCGAGCTGGACGAGGTGGATGGAGAGGCTGCAGATGCAGGGCTGCTGGTGGTGGGGGTGGAGGCCCCCACAGCCTGGGCCTGGGCTGCCAGCATGGGGGTCAGCTCTGACTGCTGGATGACCTTGACCCCGTCCGGCTTGCTCCACGCTGACTCCCGTGTCCGTGCGTTGTAGAAATACACCTGTGGTGGAGAGAGCCAGCACAGCACAGCTCACTGCCTGAGAGAGGGCAGAGTGACCCAGCTCTGCCAGAGGGACCCCAACCACTGATTATGTGTTCAGGGCTCACAGCAGCACCACCCCYGGCCCCGCTGCTCCCATCTCACCTTCCCATCTGGAGTTTTGTTCTCTACCCAGATCTCCTCAGCTGGGGGCATTGCTGGTGTTCCCGGCGCAGAGACCGGCGGCATTCCTGGAGGGAACATCATACCAGGAGGTGGTGGCATGCTACCCATGGGAGGAGGCATAAATGGTGGTCTCTAAAGGCATATAATAACAATAATGATGATAATGATAACAACAATATCATTTCAAGCAGTTTTCCTTTCTTAGAGAACCAACAGACAGTACMCCAGAGTAAAGACAACTCTGCCAGGCTTGGGAGCTTCTCTACCAATCCAATGCTCCCAGCTCAGGGAATGTGCTTCCTGCCACCCCCCACCTATGGCAGAACAGCTGAAGCCATCACTTCACTTCCGAGAKGCAAACATCAAGGCACCTGAAAAAGGTGGCATCAACAGAAACRCAGTCAAAGAAAAGTCCTCTCMTGAAAAGGAGAAAATATCTCAAGGCAAGGAGAAAAAAGAATGGAAGWGCTGTTCCCAAACAGCTACTGATCACACTCCTCACCTGCAAAGGAAATACTCCAGAAACACAACTACCTTCCCAGAAAAGAAATATTTAAAAAAATTAAATTTCAAGTAAGTGTACAATTTGTCAGCACRGCTGAGCAGTGGGCTTAATTACAATCCTTTACACTCCTCAATTTTCCACTAACTAATGCCAATTAAATAAAATAATATGAAATTACATGTTCATTATTGCATGATAAGAAATCCTGACCTGTCTGGCACACATAGGCCCTGAGCTGCACCCCTGGAACAGCTGCTGCACCCCTGGAAGCTGCCASTGCTGCCATGTCCTTGGCATCTGTCTGCATCTGTCTTCTGTCCAGAGCTTCCCCGAGATCCAACTTTCTCCTCTAAAACTGCTGYTCTTAAAATTCATGTACCAAATTGATAATAATTATTAGCATGAAATCTACTAAAAAAGGAAGCCTAGAGTGCACGGACAGCATTTTAGACAAACAAAATAGCCCTCAAGACAACTGCAGCGTGTCTTCCCTCCCTTATTCCTCCCCCACAGCTCGTGCACCTCCCATACCATGAGCTTCCTTTTTCTTGCYCTTACAACCTGTAGGAAAAATCCAGTGAGAATCTCACTTTCCACCTGCTGCTTTCCCCAAACCAGGAGTAAAATCATGTGGGCAGTCAGTGCCAGGTGTGCAGCCAGGGTCCCAGCACAYCCTGAGTCCTGTTTCCAGCACAGCTCTCCCTGTTCTGACCACTGACCCTCACAGCAGCCACAGCACAGGGAGCGAAGCCCAACCCTCAGTGTGGAGGAGAGCACAGCCCTGGCACAGCCTGAGACACCCAGCCACGGCTGGTGCTGCTGAGGAGCTGCAGAGATCATGGGCTGGCACAACAAACCAGTGTGACAGCTGGRGCAGCAGCACAGTCAGGATGGAAATCAAGCACAGAAATCAGGGAGACACCTGCAGACAGGGATCCAAAGTAACTCAGGCTGATTCTTCAAACTATAATTACCAATAGTGGATTTAATCCATTATTTACAGCACATGGYACCATTCAGCTCCTCAGCCTGCCCACAGCCCAAACAGCACTTACACTGCCCTRATGGCAATGCACYTACACAAAGCAATTRAATAATAGCACAAGGCAATTAAAAMARKAAATTTCTCATTCACAAAGGTGGTGTCCCTTGCAAACTGTCCAGACCTCTGAAAAGTAGACAAAAGACCTTAAACCATCAATCAATTTAGCACTGCCTTGAGGAGCTGGGATTTGCATACCACAGGTGTGCAGTGGTGTATAACACCACACCTGAGCCCCGTGTTCTCATCTTGCCCTGTTTTCTTCACCCATTTTAATGTTCTTGCTCKTACTGTTTCTGCAGAATCACAGAATCAATTACATTGCAAAAGAGCTCCCAGACCTGKGCCCAATCCCCACCCTGTCACCCAACCCAGAGCACCAAGTGTCACATCCAGTCGTTTTCTGGACACCTGCAGGGACTCCAGCACCACCCTGAGCCTCCCTAGATCCCTCAGCTGCTCTCATCAGACTTGTGTTCCAGACCCTTCACCAGCTTTACWGCCCTTCTCTGGATAAGCTCCATCATCTTAAGTCCCTTCCTGAATTAGGGGTCCAGAACTGGACATTTCCACATGTGAAAACAAACGAAAAGTCCCCAAATCCCATTTCAACAGCACAGGAGAGTCCCTGTTCCTTACCTGYAGGTGCGGAGGTCCCATGGGCGGGGGGATCCCCCCTGGAGGAGGCATCGGGGGCATGCTGGGGTCGAAGGGGGGGCGGCCGAAGGGGGGCCGGGGAGGCGGAGGGGGGCCCCGCATCATCCCGAAGGGCGGCGGCGGCCGCAGGAGGGGCGGGGGGCCCCGCAACACCGCGCTGGGGGGGGGCGCGGGGCCGCGGAACCGCAGAGCCTGCTGCTGAGCCATCCTGGGGASAGAGAGSGACAGGGAACACSGTCACTGCCATTTGCTGGAGCAGGAGAATCAGCTGTGACCGCGACACGGAAAACCAATAAACACCAACAAGGTGTACAAAACGGGTCACGATTGTGTGGGTAAAGTCAAATGTGCAACTACTTCAAGATGTTCTTCTGCKTCACAATTCAAGGTTATTAATCCTCAGTAGTGAATTTCTGCTCATGRAAATGGATAACCAGAGCTGGGATGGGGTATGCAGGCATTGGGAAGTGCAGCCTTCCTATCTACCAGAGCTCCCTGAACACGATCTCCTCCCCTGACTGCTGTCTGTAAGTCCGTCCTGAGCCTCGGCGGCCGATCGAGCCCGGGGTGGTGTCGGTTCTACAGCCCCAGGGACTGCCAAGAGCTCCCGTGTCCCTGGCGGTGGGACCCGCCACAGGGCCCGGCCCCGACCCCCGCTGTCCCCGCGCTGAGCCGCCCGGGCCTCCGCAAGGGGAGCTCGGGAACGGAGAAAAAGTAAAAACCTTCGCCTTCAGCACCACCAAAAGCTCCTCGGCGACTCTGGGGGCCAATTTTACTCACCACTGAGTGCAGTGCAATAAAATGGTCGCATCAGGACTCAGACTCGAAAAAGTCGAAGGTTATGAGAAAGTGAGTGACAACAGACACAGCCTAGCCGCGCTCCGAGGGGACCCCCCGGCACTCGGTCCCAGACCGGGAGTGGCCGCGGCCATAGGAGCGGGAGAGGCCCCGGCCCTGTGAGCGGGAGCAGGGCCCGACCCGCCGCACGCGGGGCCGACAAATGGAGGCGGGAGAGGTCCCGCCGGCCCACCCGACCCCACTCGGCCCCGCCCCAASTCGCCCGGCCGGCCGGTCCCAGCCCGGCTCCGGCCCGCGGTACCGGAGGTCAGTGCCGAAGCGCTCTCCCGCCGCCGCCGCTTCCCCGTCGCCGCCGCCGCCCCGCTCCGCCATGGCCGCCACCGCCGCGCGCACCCGCCCCGCCCCGCGCGGGCTCCGCCGCGCCCCATTGGTCGCCGCGCACGTCCGTCAGCGCGAGCGCGGCCGAACTCGCCTCGCCATTGGCCAGSGCGCCCGCCGGCTTTGAATGGGGGGAGTCGGGCGCGCCGCGATTGGCTGCGCGCGGGAGGCACGCGCCCCCGGCGGCCGCGGTCACGTGAGGCGCGACCCGGGGAAAGAACGGAAGTGACTTCACGGCGYAGGGCGAAGGGGCGGGAGCAGCAGCCAATCAGCGGTCGGAACCACGCGCGCCAATCACCGCCCGCAGGTGGGGACCCGCGCCCCGCCCCGAGAATCGCGTGCGGAATGTCCCGCCTGGTGACGTCACGGGGGCACGGAGCCAATGAGCGAGCGGGGAGCGGGGACCGCTGGGGGGCGCTGTGCGCGCGGGTACCGGGGGTGAGGGATCGTTCCGCTCGGCACCGGGGGGTGAGGGATCGGTACCGGGGTACGGGGGGCCTGAGGGCTCGGTCCGCTCCATACCGGCGGGCTGAGGGCTCGGTCCGCTCGGAGCGGCCGCGGCAGCTCGGGGAGCCCCGCTGGGGCGGTACACGACCCCCAGGCCGCGGTGGGGTCCGCAGCACCGGAGGGCCTGTCGGGGTGTCCGGCCGGGAGCGGGCCGAGGAACGGGGCAGCGGGGGAGCCGCAGTGCCGGCCTGGAGCCGCCCTGTCCCGAGTGCACTGACCGACATCCCGGGCACGGGACAGCAGCTCCTCGGTGGGACACTCGGCCCCGGCTCGGCAGTGACCACGGGACACTCCGGATCCATGGATGAACCCGGCAGTGACCACGGGACACTCCAGATCCATGGATAAACCCGGCAGTGACCACGGGACACTCCAGATCCATGGATGAAC